GATGAGAAGGCTGCTTCAGTGGACAAAGCAAGAACAGTGGAATTTGTACACCTTGCCTTTAGCAAGGGCTTTGCAACAGCTTCTCTTAGTCTCCTTGTCTTCTTCTAGCGAGATTGGTGAAATATGGGCTTGATTAGTGGACAATAAGGTGGGTGGAAAATTGGCTGGGTTGCTGGGCTCAGAGGGTATTGATCAGCAGTACAAAGTCCAGCTGGCAGAGTGACACCCCTCAGGGATCGATACAAGGGACAAGACTGTTTAGCGTCTTTATTAATGACCTGGATGGTGAGAAGAGTGCAATCTGAGATATATAACTAAGAAAAAAAACCAGATAATTATATTACAGTTATATGCAGCAATTCAAAATACTTCAGTGGAGTATCTGTTGGACTAGTTTGCTTCTAAAACCTAAGATTTTTCCACCTTCATTTGACCCTGAATAGTCCCATCTCTTTCACAAGCTGGTTTCTGAAGCAGATATCCTGCCTTGGATTAATTTTAAGCCCCCTGTGTGCTGCTTCTCAAATGACTACCATTTCTTTCTCATGGGAGGCATCAGAGAGGAACTTTGGGATAATCCGTCTGTCTTTGGGTCATTCAGGGTCTCACGACTGCCATAATTCAGCTCAGAAGGTGCCTTTATAAACTGCTTTTGCTTCCTACATTTGCTGGTTCCTCGAAGTAAGCAGACCTGACTCATTTCAAACACACCACTCCCAACTGCATTGCTAGGAATTTTTTTTTCATGTGTCCATAAGAACTGCAGATTCCCAGTTGTCCTCTGGAAATCTCTGTTCTCTCAGCATTGGCAAGTAGAGGCTTACAGGGAGGGGACCCTCACCCATGTGTTTTAAGTTCTGGGTTCTGCTCCTGGTTCACTGAATGGCTTCTTTTGCTGGTGTTATCTCACTGGACCTCAGTTGCCCATCAGCAATTAGGTCCCAGCAGAAAGTTGCCTTTTCCTCAAAAGAATTGTAAGGATAAATAAATATGAAGGTAGTCTGACAGTGACTGCAGTAATCTCTTTAACATGTTTCTCTTACCCCCTTTTTTTCCTTAGTTATAAGTCTGTAAGGTGAAACCTCACTTAAAATGGTACAGTGTGCTCCTCTTCCATCAGCCACCCTCTTCTTGGGCAGATCAGAAGATGGCACAGTTCAATCTTCTCACGTTCTTCCAGGTGATTATTGCTCAAAAGACACCTTCAGCAAATAGTCTGTGTTCTCCCTCAAGGACCCCAAATGTGACTGTTATTAGTCCTATTGCAGTGGGAAATGTATCCCCCATACCACATCTTCAGGTTTAGCCTTAGCCCCATCAGCCCCAAGTATTTAATTTTGAAAAGCAATGTTACGTGGCTACGTTATAGCTGATGGTACTTGTGAGTGAAGCTATTTTATACTTGTGGGATTTGAAGGCTGGGATTTTCTCCAGAAGGCAATTCCAAAGGGTGATTCTTTCCAGCTGCCTTAAATACTCATTTTAGTCTGCCTCTCTTTCTCCATTGCCTTTAGGAGCTGGGTCAACTGCCTTAGACCTGGCCACCTAACTAGCAGACCCCTAGCAGTTCCCAGCCTAAATGACTCAATGAAAAATGAGGTTTTCAGCTGGCACCCCTTTTGCTTTTTCTGCAAAGAGGTAGGAATCACCCAAACATCTTTGTCATTTCATATTATTCAGCAGCAGAGACTTTACAAAACAAGCGTGTTGTAAATTTGCTTGGAAACTCAGCAACCAACATGTTAACTACTGTTTTCTTTGCTTCCATTTCCTGCGGCAGTTGTGTGGTTGCATGAATATAATTTTTATTACTGGGTTCCTGAGAGCAATCAAGAAGTGCTTAAGGATTTTCAGACTAGCAATCTTTTCTGTTGCTACAGAACACTTATAGCAGTGAACTTGCAAAATACTAATATTTGTATTGTCAGTGAATTGTGACCTAAGAATTTACAAATTAACTCCTTGAGATTTTTTAGGTCAATTGTAGATACACTTGCAGAAATATTTATGGAAGAGCAGGAACAGAAAAATGGGGAATTGCTTAATTAAATTAATATACAGATCACTTTTTCATTTGAAATCTGAGAGAAGAGCAGCTGTAGTAGTGCAGACCAAAGGTCCATTCAGCCCAACACCCTGTTTTGAAGATGAGCTGTAGCACAAACTGGTAGAAGGAAGAGCACAAGCATTTGGCAAGCAGCTCCAGAGAGCACCCCCTAACATCTAGCAGTCTGAGATCCCTCCAGTTCTCTGGCTAGAAATGTGTGTCATCTCTATGCTAAAGAGCTCTCTTTGGCTTCATGAATTTCCCCAATCTTTTAAGAGTACTTCTATAGTTAAGATATTTACCTGTATGGAAGCCATCCGACAATTCTGATAGTCCTTCTCGCTCTTCTCTGTGTCCTTTACAGTTATCCTCAAATACTTTTTTTAACTACTGCTGATAATTTTTTTCACAGTACCATAACACAAAGTTCTCATTCCCAGGTAGTAATGGTCAGTTTAGAGCATATTATTCTGTACGTAGCGCTAGAATTAATTTTTTTCCCCAAAAAATACATCACATTACTTTCTCTACTTTGGATTTCACCTGTCATTTCCAGAGCCATCACAGAATATCATGTAGGCTTTGCAATCATTTCTCCGCTATGCATGCTGTCACTTTTGATATATTTTTTTTTTCCTAGAGGCCCCCGTAGGACTCACTGGTGTCCTGCCTCCATAGTGAAGACTGATTATTCTGTCTTGCCTGCTTCCTGTCTCCCAGGGGTTCTTTCACCATGGAAGGACCTTCTGTCTTAACTTGTGGTTTGTGTCTCTTGAGCCTTTCATGAGGGACCGTGGTGATGTACATACATGCTGGCTCCCTTCAGAGAATACATCCATAGGTTGGTTTATGTCCATTACATAACCTGTGTATGTTTTTTTGTTTCATTATCTTTTTACTGACAATTTATTTGAGGAAAATCTTCTGACACATAATCATAAGGAAGTCTGCTGACATAGGATCATTCCCAAGAGTCCTCAGTGTGAACACATTTAAATTTTTTTTTTCTTTTTTCTGCTTATATATTAAGATCTCTTAAGGAAAGATCTGAGGTCTGATTCTCTGCACACTCTGTTCACACCCAGGGTGGCAAAGTAGTCATATTTAAAATATATTACCTTGCACATTTTAGATAAAACCCAAACAAGTCCAGCACTTGAAAAATTACAGTGCCTGGCCATGATGACCTCTAATTTTTCTCCATGACCACCTAAAATTGTTTGTTTGCATTAGTTTTTAATTTTCCATTCTGATAAAATTTGGTAGTTAAAATATTAACACAACTATAACCATCACCTATTTTGCATGGCTTTTTACTGGTTACACAGTGATATAACCCAAGCAATTTAGATGCAGTTACTCCCAACTGATGTCCTGCAGACACTAAGAATATGAGTAACTTTACACGTGTAGACTGACACACCGAATTTGAATAAAACTTCTGCGATTATCAGCTTTTCTTTATCCTAAAATGAAGATTTCAATCTGACTGAAAAATGTTAAGCTTTTGTGTAGTTACATAACTTTGGACATAATTAATTATGGTTTTCAGAACCATTGTTAGAACTATTTTCAGGGTCAGATTACATGGTAGGTCTGGGATTAAATTACATCAAACATAATAAGATTCAGTCAAGGAGGCTTTTGAATTGCTGTGCCTATTTGCCAAGTCTCACATGCCAAAGCTGCAGGTATATCAAAGAACTTCACTGCTTCACATAAAATTTCCAAAGACCCTTTTGCCATTATTTCAAGGAGTGTCCTCAGAAAATTATACTATAAATCTGAAGACCAAATATCTTCTTTTCCAAATATCTTTGCTTTTACTGCTTGAAGTGCCAGATGGATAAGCTAAATATATTCTCTTTCAGTGATCAGTGCAAAGTATGTCAAATCTGGCAAGGAGTTTTCCAAAGAACGCAAGAAATTATGATACCCTGGAGCCTATGTGCAGTAGTCTGCTACTACAAAGATAAAGTGGAGTGGATTTTCAATTCAGGGATCTTATCTAGCACATTTCACCCTATGGTGCCTCACAGGTTTGTAGCTAAAACAGTGTTTCTCTTCATTTGATAACTTCTGAAAAATACGCCTTTGTGTGCTTTTCTCTACACATTATAAAGCTTGATGAACCCTTAAGATTACAGCAAGGTTTTGAGGGGACTTCTTATTAACAGCTGTACTACTTTGATACGCCTTGCAATTGTAAACAAGAGTGTATGCTGTCAGATCAGTTGGAGGAATAAATTTGGTTTGGTTTGAAGATAGAGAAGTTAAAAGGTAACAAAATCCATTTTGTTTTCTTATTTTAATACTCGTTGTGAAAGGAAATGCTACCCATAGATGGCACTGTGGTTCTGTGACTCAGGTGTTATTTATGTCTGTGCAACGGTGCAATGCTATTTATTTATGCTGCTTATTAATTTTAATCTTATAGTGCTACTTCTTAGTGAAATTAATTTAATTGGCTTATTACTATTGCAAGTACATTGTTTCTGAGACTGAAATGTTTTAAGCTATATGTACTTATCCAAAGAGTATACATTTTCAGCAGAAGAACAGCTGTCCTTGGAAAAAGAGAGTGATTGCAATGGCTCGTTTTGGACATAGTTTACCGAGATAGTTAAATTCTGTAACATGCTCTTTCTCTTTGTCCAGCAAGGTATTTAAAATTACTTTAGCCTTCAGCCGACACTGTACTGTGAATATGTATGGGAGAAATTAAACCAAACCGAAATAACTACGTAAGACAAACTTCCAGTTTATAAAACAACTGATGGCATTTAAATGTTTTAATCTGCTTTACTAGCAGTGGGATCTGACAAAACAATAAAGCATTGGAACACCATTTTACATTAACATTACAAAATACAGCAAACGTTTTTCTCTATGTATTTACATAAGCAAACATATAGGTATTCAAAATAGAATGCATCTCACCATCTGGCAATAATTACATAGGTACAGTGCATGGTTGGCGGGATGGGATAGATACATAGGATTTTTTTACCCTGAAGTGTATAAAGGATGCACACCAGCTTAGGAGATACATGGTGAGCTTCATGTCTTTGGACATTTTTCAGATGCAGTCTTAACAGTAATAAAATGTCGATCTACTTGAAAAATTGTTGATTGAAACATTTTTTCAGACAACCCGGGGTTTTTGGATGCAGATGTGACAGACTGACTCAGCATGCTTTTCCTGTAAGGTTTCCCATAAGGTAGGGGAAGGCCCTAACCTGTGAGCTTGTCTGTGTGAATGTCGTCTTTTTTTTTTTGCTTGGAAAATTACAAAAGTTTCCATTCCAGTCTGATGCATAATGAAAACGCTCACATGTTTTCGCAAGATGGAAGTGTTGCTCTGAAGCCAGTCATAATAAACAGTAGTGTTCATCCCAAGCATGGGGCCAGTGCTATAAATTCTGGTTTAAAACGGCTGAGCTTTGTCATCTGTCTGCAGTATAATGACTCTATTAATTGCTATCTACTGATGAACGACCTCCCGCAGATCTGGCCTGGTGGGTAGAACAAATTCAGACGCTGACTCTGGCATCCTCACTAAGGCAAACCACACAAAAATCTATTAACATTTTGGTGCAAGGTGGCAGAATCAGGCCTCGCTAAACTGTCAACGATGTCCATAAAGAGCTGGAGATACTGGTCTTTATCTGCTGCGCATTCTTGGCTTTGAGAGGCTTCTTAGGCAAAATCTGCTGATCACTCAATAAAACCACCTATCTGAGTGCTTGCAGAATTAAAATGTCAGGCATCTGATATCCCTGCTTCTAAGCAAAAAATAAGTGTTGTTACCTCCAGCTGTCAATTAAAGAAACGCTGTCAAGTCTCTTAGGTCCAAAACATGGGTTTTATTTTAATAAGCTGGAAAAAAAAATTGTTCGGAGTCAACTTCTAATGAAACATCAAGCAAGTAATTGAGACCCTCTCTGTTTGTAGTGAAACATTCCCCGTCAGTATTTGCAACCTGAGCAATTTGACATTGTGAAAGAGGAACAGAAGGTGAAATGAAGAGAAACGAGGAGGGGGATGCGATTTGCTCTGCCACGTGGGTGAAATGCAGGCGGCAAGCAGAGAGCATAAGCAGTGAACGCTAAATGCTCAGTAACAGTTTATCAAGCGCAAGCTGGTGAAGGAGACTGCGCAGACTGGCAGCCGGACCCTCTGGAGTTTTGGGAGGAATTGAGCTTCGGAGAAGTGCAGGGTGCCATATGCATCGTACAGTTTGCAGGCTGGCTCTGCTCCCTGGCACAAATGGGCAATAGGACCCAAGCTGTCCATCCTGCTTGCTTCTTTCTCTTGCAAGGCCAGAGATGCTTGCCTCAAGATGGGCACAAATTGCACAAAACATGGCAATTCCCTCCACTGGTGGAAGCACCGGTGTTTTGTTTCCCCTCCTACGCAGGGTTAGAGTCCTTCGATCCTGTGCCAGCATTCATCATGTGAAGGCAATCTGGTTTGGTGCCAGCTCCTGAGCCTCTGACCTCTACTCACAAAAGACCTTTGGTTTTATTACTGCCTCCTTCTTCCCTGGGGTGCCCCTTCCCAAGGGCGAATCCTCAAAACCATCACTCCAGTTGCAGAGTGGAGATATCTGGACACCAGGAGGTATCTGAATACCCTGTTTCATGGGATGTCCTGGACCACTTGTGCTCCATCAGTGCCAACACTTGCCTGGCTGGCCTCTGTGATAAGAGCTGGCTGTTGTCCTTAGCTCAAACCCCCTGATTTAGGGTCTATATCAAATTGGTCAGGAAACAGTGGAAAGTCACTGCTCCCTCCTACTACTGCAGTGGTCCTCATGCTCAGCTACATTTAGCAGATTTCCCCTGGAATCCCTTCTGTGCCTGTGTGGAGGTGAAGACTCACACCCCTCGTGCAGGGCTGTGCGGGAGTGGGGTGTGCATAGGGACGTGGGAGCAGTGAGTTCATTTGTCCTTCTGCTGAAGCTGTTCAGTTTGGTTGTGGATATCGAGCGCACCCAGAGCCAGAGCGACCATATAAACCACCTTGGTGAGCACAGCATTTATACTATGGGATTTAGCAGGTGATCCTAAATTCCCAGTTTTGGGGGGAAAACCATTAATGGCCATGAGCTGATGGATGACATGCATGGCATCACTGCCACAGAGCTACAGCATGACAGTTTGACCCAGGCCTGGAGGCCAAGGGCTGTGGAGTGAGTCAGTGTCGCCACACGCATGCAGAGCTCCTAAAACTGGCAGATTTACTTATCATACTGGCAAGAGAACAATAAAAGCAGTTTCTTGGAAATCAGCCAAAGACCCAGCCAAGTTTTAAGTCCTCTCCTACCACAGATCAGTATGTTAAGCTAAATGTCTTCCTCTTCCAAAGACCCACAGCTGGCAGGCTAGAATGAGGTTAAGTTTCTCTGTGTCTCTCTCTTTCATTGCCTTAGTGGAAATTTAATTGGTCTGTGAAAACTGAACAACTTCAAGGGAAGGACTGATGAAGGCATTGGAGTTTGGCTTCTGGGTAAGCAGTGGGTTTTTTCAGAGTGGACAGGATCTGAAACTGGAAAACATCCTGCTTCTGATGGTTATGGCTGCAAAATTCATGGAATGAATCAAATGCTTGGCTTTAGGTTTTGCAGGTGGATGCAACATTTCTATTTCTGCTCTCCAGCAGAGTCCCACTGGCTGCAGTGAAATTGTCTGTGATGCCCGAAAGGAAACAGTTCATGACTAGGCATTTCTGTCAAGCAGTGTATCTGATGTTCTTTATGTAACGTATTCTGCCCTTGGAGCTGTGCAGGTGAAATACAGTGCTGCTTATAAGTCCTGTTATTTTTCAAGTGGGCCCTGTTTGCCCATATAAATTTCATTAAGGCTGAGTCCTAATAGTGCAAGCTACCTACCGTTCCTGAGCAATCTACCATAACAGCAAAACAGTGAAACCAGGGAAAACAATTTTGACCAACTAACAGTTTTCTAATAATTCCGGCTTTACAAGCCTTAAAACAAAATCAGAAGGACATCTTCATAATGGCCTTTTTAACCAAAGAGAAATGATGAGAGAGGATTTTCTGCAGCCTTTTACTGAAGGCTTTACTCATGCAAAACTTCCACTGACATTATTTAAATCAGACTTTGTTGGAATCCAACAGAGGCATGGATGTGGAATCGTTCCTGAAATTATTTAGCAATGTCATGCCTGATTTTCCACTCTTCTCTCACTTCATTTCCCTGTCAACACCAGTGGGAAGGAGCGGGGAATCAAGCCCAATAAATACTTTCGAAAAAAAATCACTTTCAAGTTTTAAGCTGAACAGATGAAATTTTTTGAATGGCAATAAAGTACAAGACATGAAATAAAGATTACAAATGGTGGTAGAAAAAAAGGATCATTCAAGTATAATTTACCTCTGAAGACTGCTAATTTGAACTATAGAACGAATGGCAGAAAAGTAACATTTCAGAATGGTCACGCAGAAGAAAAAAATACCCATAAAAACACTGCTACCAAAATGTCCATATAATTTATCTATACAGGTTTTAATAGATTTTTCTTTAAGACTTTAAAATTTATTTTAAATATATATTAGCAAATTAACCATAATTTTATTTAAAATTCCTTAAAGTGCTCATTCAGTTAACGATAACAAAATTCCATTGTAGCAAGACAAACTAGCTGCAGCCTACTCTGCGAGGACATCAAAGGACAGCTTAGCTTTCATTTGCAAAGAGAAAGGAAATGCGTAGGGTTTCTTCACAGCCCGTGTTATAATACCAGAAATTGCTTTTTTTTTCTTTAAGAAATATATCCTTTAGAATATTAAAAAAATAAGTTTAATAAAGCCTGTGCTTAAAACAGCCAAAGTACTGTATGAAAAAAAATTGCACATTTGATACCATTTCAACCCCGCTTTTCATCCACAGGATAATATGAGGAGTATATGATGTTATTGGAGGGTCTCTGGAACAGGGCTGATTTTCCTAAGCTATCAGTGCTTCTCACAGCCAGGTGAAATTTTCAGCGTACGCACGGTGGTTGTCATGGCAGCTGCCGACTGTCACACACCGCTAACCTTTTCGTTCGCTGGGCTGATACTTCCCTTGGAGGTACCATCCAAATGATGTATTCCTATTGTGACCATTGAATAATCCTTAGCCATCATTTTTGCCTCCTTTTTCAAACTCTTCATTTGTGCTAGCTGGAGCTGGCTGGAATTATATGCAAGTGCTGGGATAGTGTTCACTAAAATCAGCTGAAAAGGTTTCTTCTCCTCCTTGTAGCGACACTGAATGTAACGAGAGAAAGCTGAGCGGTAGGTTTTATTGAACAACGTATATACGAGTGGGTTGACAGCCGAAGAAAGGTAGCCAATCCAAACAAATACGTTAAGTAGTCCTCCAATGACTTCTTGATTGCACGACTCTTTGCAAATAACAGCCATCACATTGGTGATGAAAAATGGGCACCACATCACAACAAACAGAAAGAAGACAATGCCAAGAACCTTGGAAGCCTTCTGCTCGTTGCTGATGGATTGCATGGTTCTCCTCCCAGAAGTCGCCATGTCTCTGTTCAAAGAACGCTGAAAGAGTTTCTCCGAGGACAGGGAACTCTGAGGGAGGAAGCTAAATGAAGCAAACTTGGTCTTTGGGCCAATGTCATTCACACATAGCATAGCTTCCTTCTGCAGCGACTTGATAGTTAAAAAGTAGGTGACCACCATGATGGTTAGAGGGATGAAGAATGCCACAAAAGAGCCTACTAGGACAAAATTGTCATCCACAAGTAAGCAGCTGCCTTTCTTAAACACTTTGGAGTCATCTTGTAGTCCAAAGACAGGTATAGGCATGGAGATACCTGAAGGTGGATTAGAGAAAGAAGAGGTTAAACACAATAATAAACCCCACCATTTCCAATCTCCAAGAAAAAATAAAACACTTCTGGGTATACACAGATAATTTCTCAAAGAATAAATTGTTATAGCACACAAATGAACACTAACAAATAGAGCCATAATTGATAGACATCCCAAAGCAAACTGAATTTACACAGGGGGAGGAAAAATATTTCAGCTCATCAGGGTGCTAGTCCTGTTCTTGTGACATTTTACTGGGACTACACTAAGAAAAGATGCTGTGTGAAACATTGGTCTTGCAGATGTTGAATTTCTGCAGCTAAGCTCTGGTCTGCAAGGCTCTGGCATTTGTGCTGCCACCACCTTTACAGGATCCTGGAAAAGAAGGGCAGGGGAACAGCAGCACTGGTGTTACACAGGATTTTGCAGTCGCTCTAATCTGAATTCCCTCTCTCCCTCAAAGAAATCTCAGCCGCAGGTAGAACACATTTGCTTCCATCTAGGTATCCCATGACACCTAGTAGCAACAAAAGCAAAACTCCTTATCTTATTGGATCTTGGGTCCACTGTAATGACCTCCAGACTTGCTCCTTGGTTCCTGCCACCTTGGCAAAGGCTTTTATCAACTACGATCAAGATGATATCATGTCTTTCTTTTCTGGGATGGCTTAAGAGTGGTCTTGGGCTGTTTTTCATAAGAGGATTAAAAGTGTTCTGGGTACTGGTTTCTGACTAGGCTGTGAAATACTGATTTTAGGAGGAAAGATAAATTTTTATCATAGGTCTGAGAGTAGTCATAGAATCCTAGAATCCTAGGTTGGAAGGGACCTCAAGGATCATCTAGTCCAAGCTTTCTAGGTAAGAGCACAGTCTAGACAAGATGGCCCAGCACCCTGTTCAGCTGAGTCTTAAAAGCGTCCAATGTGGCGGAGTCAACCGCTTCCCTGGGGAGATTATTCCAATGGTTGACTGTTCTCATGGTGTAAAATTTCCCTCTCGTGTCCAATCGGAATCTCCCCAAGAGCAACTTGTGTCCATTCCCCCTCGTCCTCTCCATGTGAGTCCTCGTAAAAAGGGAGTCTCCATCTTCCTTGTAGCTACCCCTTAGGTACTGGTACGTGGCGATGACATCCCCTTTGAGCCTCCTTTTCTCAAGGCTGAACAAACCCAGCTCTTTCAGCCTTTCCTCACATGTCAGGCTTCCCAGTCCTTGGATCACCTTGGTGGCCCTTCTCTGGACCCCCTCCAGCCTGTCCACATCTTTTTTGTATAGTGGGGACCAGAACTGTTCACAGTATTCCAGTTAATCTTTCATTGAGTCTTTTCTCTGTGTAATCTCCATAGAGTTGACACAGTCTAAACGCTAAGAACACTTCCCATGGCAACGGCCAGAGGACTGATGGTGACAAATTAAGCACTGAGAGACACCAGTATGAGGCAGCCTGAGATAGGCTTCACCCTGCGGGACTGCAAAAGTCCCTTCACAGTATTGCCAGCTGCTACAGGCCACCCTCTCAACGCACAGCCCCGGAGGCAACAGCAGCCGCGCAAACTTTGTCTTCCCGCGGAGCACGTGCTGCGTCCTTGCCCTGTCATGAACGACAAGGCCAGGTAATGAAGCGCATTCTCCTTGGACTGCTCCGTCTGATCCAAACCCACTCAGCCATTTCATCGGGGAATTCTGCAAATGCTGCTAGTGTCTGAGCAAAATCAAACAGCAGCTGTTTCTTCTGTTGTTGGTTTTGGGTTTTTTTTTTCAAGATTTGTCTCCTCCCCCTCTCCCCACCCCCCCCAAATGGATGCTGTCTCTCCAAGAGAGGCAACGTTCAGACAGCAAAAGGGATGATGTGCTGTGAAGACAGCAAAAGTGGAGTTGTGAAGCAGGGAGCGATAATGCAGCCCCGTTTGGATAAAAGCAGCTAGGAGTCTGACTTCTGTGGAAAGTTAGCCTAAGCTGGGAGCTTCAGTCTCCTTTGCATCTTTGAACAGAAATCCCAGGTGCTGTATTTGGCTTCTGAGGAAGAAAAAAAATTAATTAGAGGATAATTTCTTACGATGTGAGAATAACGCTGTGCCCTACCTTGTCCCCCCTGTGCCCGAGAATGTCCTTACTGGTTCACAGATGAGTCCTGAAACTCGTCCTCTCAATATCAGCATTTCAATGGTACCTCCCTCTACCTCCCTTCCTTTCCCTTCTTCCCACTCTGGTGGGGCTGGGAGCCTTTTAAAAGTCTCTTCATTTCACACATATCCAGTGCCCAGCATAACAGCTCCAGTCCTAGAGTGAGGCTGTGGAGTCCAGGCACAGTACAAAACAATAATAATAACAGTAATAATAATGTTAGACTATTATTCTCTTCAAATGTTCCATTCTTCTGGTGCTTCTGGAGCTTCTACAAAGCTCTTTATTTTTCTAACACCACTGCTCTTTATTTTTCTAACAACACTGTAGCTTATTTTATCTGCATAGCTTTGAACTGAGTCATGGCAATGCCTTGGGCCAATTTACAAAAGTGCTGTTCTTATCTGCCCAGGGCAGAAGCTGGTGGAGAGCCTGCAGTATTGCCCTTGCTGCTTCTGCTGCACAAGCCCTAAATGCTTGAATTTGGGCTATGAGAAGCCAGTGGGTGAGGTGCAAATTCATGCAGGTTGTAGCAGCTCCTGGGTCGAGCTGGTGGAAACCTCCAGTGACTCCAGGAAAGCTGCTGCCTAAAAAAACCCTAGTCAGTCCGACCGACGGCACGGAGGGAGAGGTCACCTACAGGAACCACATTGCCCAGCCACGGACAAGTCATCTGGGGTGCCAAACACCTCCAGGGAAATGGGGAATGCTTTGAAGTTCCTTTTCTTTTTTTCGGATGAGTTGCAGGGATACTGAAGGCCCCCAGCGCCTGCCAGCATTATGCTTCAGCTGCATGAAGATGCAGCACTAGTCAGAGCAATACCACAAGTTTCCCGTCCGGTTCTGCCCTGTACTGATAACAGCAGGGCTGTTTCTTCAATTCATTCAAAGACCTAGTGTGAGCTGCAGAGATAAAATAAACAATGGTATTGACAGAGTAAAAAGATGCCTTTCATTAGTACAGACCGTACTGCATCAGGAGGCATGGGAGTAGAGGCAACAGCACTTAGAAAGAGGAAAATTTTAGCGTAATTGCAAGTTTTTTCAAGAAAAAAGCCAAAGTCAGTTACAACTCCTCACCCAAAATACAAGGGCAGCAATTCCCCACATGCTTTGCTTTGCTCTTAGCAGCTTCTGGACACTGGCATCTAAATCCAGGTTTCTGGCTTTAAAAAATGGAAATGAGCTTCAGCTCTGTAGCTGGTGTTTCCACATTTCCATGTCATTCCTGTAACAAGTGCAAAAGTGTTCTTCACAGCAGAGCTGCAGCAGGCACTGCCAGTTGTGTAAGCTTTTCCGAATGACGATTCAAGGCATCTTTCCCCTGCAGCCATGGGTAACTGGCCTATATACAGTTTGAAAACACCAGAGGTACCATAGTTTGGTAGCAGAGAACACTGATGGCTCTTTGGGTACACCCCAGTTCAGCTGATGCAGGGGATCCCACAAATGATATTGTGGCATTTCTGCATGGATTAAAATTAACTTCCAGCCCAATTCTCTCTTTTCATATCTCTACAGAGACTAAACGTATTCCTCCCCTCCCCAAAGGAAAACAGTTTGTGAGGGTAGCAAATCCCAGTGAGGACACGGGAACCAACTTCAAAGGAAGTCATGTTTAAACTGTAAATAAAAGAGCTTCCATGTCCAACCCATGCCCACTGTTTTGATGGGATTTTTAGGAAGCATCACACATGGCCAAGAGTGTCACCCACACATCACTCAGGTTTGGCCAAGATCAAGCTTGTCCTGTAGACAGAGAACAAAAAGTCCCGGTCTAAGCTGTATTAGCATTATTGCAGCTGACTGAATTAATTCTTTAAAGATCGAAGTCGACTGATGTATTTCTCCTTGATGATTCAGATGTATGATTTCTTCCTGTTTTTATTGCCCTTGCTTTCCAGCTCCCTGTTCTTGGTGACTGTGGATGTTTAAGAAGACACGGGGCGTGCCTGTGTATTCAAACGTCAAGAGAAGAAAATCAGCTTCACAAGAAAGGATCACACAGAGCTACCAGGTAGGGGACAAACAGGTATTTAGGAAATGGACCATGCATAAACAGTACATCTGGAGGAAAGCTGGCAGGGCTGTAACAGAACAGCTCTTCCACACCCTGCCCATTCCATGTCCATGGCTCCCACTAGCTCAAGGTCAGTCTGGAGAAAGTCTTGATAACCCCTGAGAGATTTTTTATGGTTTATCTTACTCTGCTTCCAAATCAAACTAAGCTGAGGCACGAGGAAGCACTCAGCACAGGATGGGAGCATCCATTCAAGCGCCGGAGGTACATTAGCCACTTGCTTTTCCAGTTGATATTCCTGCTTATATCAGAACATTTTCCCTTGCGGACAAACCCTAAACATTATGTTCCTCTGGTAGAAGGTGGTGTGTTTATATAGCTTGATTTATACACAGGTGGCTGTTTCAGACTCTATGGACTTTAACAAACCACAAAACAGAACCCAAACAATAAAGATGAGTAATAAATCCTGCATTAAACCTTAAGCATTTGGACACAGCTTCAGAATGACAAAAGGCACTTGAAAACACCAAAGGTTAAAAAGTAAAGCAATAGCATCCTTCTTGTTGTTCTCTCAAAAAGCCTGGTAAAACTGACAAAAGTTGATTTAGTGGAACACGTTGCTGGCTTGCAAATCTTCAGAGGTATACAGCAGCCGTAAAACCACTTTAGCTGGATGGGTAAACTGAGTTTGCAGCTGCCTTGAGCTGCTGAGACTATCAATGAATCAAAGCCAGAATTTACAATATGCCTGCAGGGTGGCACAGTTGGGCTACTTAGGATGAAGAGAAGGAGGGGGGAGTGAACTGATAAAGTCAAGGTTCCTTCCATGAAGCCTCCTTCAAGCAGAAACTGTCAGT